GGTGTGGGTGTGGGTGTAGATTAAGAGAGGATTCGCACCCACACCCACCCACACCCCAATTAGTATTTATTTATTTATTTAATTAGTATTTAATTAACTAATTAACCGTCACACACCGTGACAGATAGGGTCTGGGCCCATCACAGACCGTGACAGACAGGCTTTGGATCCATCACAGATCGTGACAGACAGGCTTTGAACCTATCACAGATCGTGACAGACAGGCTTTGGAACCATCACAGACCGTGACAGACAGGGTCTGGACCCATCACAGATCGTGACAGAGAAAGTGTAGTTCTAAACCATCAGATAAACGGTTCGCTACAAATGTATCGCAAAGAAATGGAACAAAACGATTTCCATTTAATTAGTAGCAGTAGATCCATCGTGTTTCACATTTTTAATCCTGCAAGGGATTGCGCTAACAGCTTTTTAACTCGGATGTATAATCTACTATGTTTTTGTTTTTTACCTAACTTTTTCTGAATAAATTCTGTTAAACTACTAAACAATACTATAGTTCGTATCTTTGTTTTTACATCATTGAGTTTTTCAATGTTGTGCTGTCAATTTGGCAAAAACAAAAGGAATCAAAGTGATAACATTGAACATTAACCTTTGGACCTATGCCATAAAAGCTTCAAGTAGTTCGAAGTTGCACGAAGTAGCCCAAAGTAACTTCAAGTAGCTCAAAGTTGCATGAAGTAGTCAAAGTAACTTCAAGTTGCTCGAAGTAGTTTAAAGTAACAGTAAAGTAGTCCAAAGTAAGGTAAAGTAGCTAAAATTACCTTTGAAGTAGCTGAAAGTAACTTCAAGTCCAAAAGTACGCTTTTTCCCCCTAGATTAATTGACTGAATTTTGACGTAATGTTATTGTGATATAGATGTGTTATTACTTCCAATCCCATGTCTTTACTCTAATTTATGTTGCTCGCCTATACGTTTTCGCGACTAAAATAGTAACGATGACATATGAAATGCTTTAGACTCGAAGAGTCAATAAGAGAAAGGTGAGAATATGAGTGCAACTTAATTGCTAAATTTAATTAAAATTCATTCACACTAATTAGTGATCCTGTTTAGTAGAGAGATTGCAGTGAACTAATCTGTCGATGTTATTTATAATTACATTTGTTTCTTTACGTCATCATTGCTTTTTTTCTTTTCTTAATATTTGTAGCACGAATTCGAGAACTTATGAAAAATTTTTCATACGGCTATTTTGATGCAGGTGATCGGCCTCCTCCCATTCAAGTGAAACATCTGCAAACCGGTCGAATTGTTGCTGCTGCAACACAATAATTTTGCTTATTTCGCCTTTTCCCATTTATCTTTTACGATCTTATAGGTCGATTGCCATCTTATATTGTTTATAAGCAATTAAGAGAAATAATGGATCTTGTTATGTCAATGCCTTTCAGAAAAAGATGGGTGTCGGTTCTCAATGACTTATGTGTCGCTTTCCATCAATCCATGCTTACACATTTTCCATCTAAAATAGTACCAAAAGTCCTTTTTGCTACAGAATATAGTCAAATAATCAATGATTATGGTCCAGCAACAAAGTTATGGTGTATGCGTTATGAAGCTTATCATTGTTATTTTAAAAAAATTGCACTTAGATCGAATAATTTCAAGAACATATCGAAGACGCTGACCACACGGTATCAATTAAGACAAATATTTAGGTCATCAAAAATGATACAACTGAAAAATGTTGATGAAGCTGTTGGAATACAAAAAGTTCATAATATTCAATTCAATAGTAAAATGAAGCAGGTCTTACTTGATCATTTTGGTGTTATTAATTTTGCTCAAGATTTAATTCAATGCAAAAAATATTCTTATAAAAATGTTGAATACTGTCGATCTGGTGTTTACATAATCGATCTAACTAATACCATCGAAACGCCAAAATTTATGCAAGTTATTAGTATTCTAAAGATGAATGACAAATGGTGGTTATTGGTGGACATATTGGAAACTATATGTTACAATGAACAGTTGTGCGCATGGGAAATAAAATCAATAGATTGTTTCACCATGCTAGATCCAAGTCGCCTGAAATATTATTATAAAGGACTTGACATTTATGAATTAGATAATTCAAGTTTTATTTCATTTACATCACGTCTCACATTGTATTAACACATCTAAAATAAACATCGAATGTTTCACAACTCTTATCCAATATAGACTCACTTAATATAGCTGTTACTTAGATTTGATGACTTCTATTCCTTCCAAAGTTTTTTATACCATCTTAAACTCTATTTTTGCTCAACTTCATAAATACTGTTCTGTTAGAAAAATTCCTATTGAATCAAAACACAAAAATTTACACATAGAACAGTTTCTTTTGTAGTGGTCTTTATGAAATTTTTACGATGAAAATGCCCGATTTTGATGTATTCTCAATAGATGTGAAATGCTTCAATGGAAAACTGGATAGGCGCGTTTAGACATGTTCTTAAAATCTTTTTTTCGTTTGCATAGCGGAGATTGTGAATGGAAGATCGTATAAAATGTCTTTTTTATGAGTCAATATGTTATTATTTGATCTAAGAGTTTTGGAAAGTGTAGTAATATAATCAACAATTTCTTGATAATATTCATTGTACTCATGTTAAACGAAAAAGCACTGAGCAGCTTCGATTAAGAAAAAAGTAAGCAAATTTACTATTGGTGTGATTTTTGAAACATTCCGTATCTAAAAAATTACCAACAATGTGTTCTTATGTGAATCTATTTCATTTTAGTGTGTTTTTTATATTAAAATGATATGAGAAAAAAGAGAAAGCTGTTTCTATCATGTTATAAATTAATATGTTTGGAGTTTTCTCAGTGCATTGAAAACTTCAAGACTTTCATTACTTTCTTCAATATATATCTTTGTTTTTATATTTTTAGAGAATGAAGTTGATGGCGAAACTCGTGCAATGATGGATAGCATCGAAAAAACAACCACATTATTTCCAAAGTTAAAACAACAACTCTTATTCTTAAAAGAACGAGAAAAACTATTTAAAGGTCTAAATGACAGTACTATTTCAAGTCTTGATTCATCATCAATTAATTCAACACATTCTAGTTCAATTTATTCTGGTTTTGAACCAATAATTAATCTTTTCACAAGTGGTTCTATGAATGATCAAGTATTTGAGAAATCAATGATCAAAGAACAATCGAACTCTTTTTTTCCTGATGTATATACAGTTCCAACTTTACCATCATCTTTACTTCAAGATATAGAATCAGGTGCATTACATAAGTTTGGACCACATCATACAAGTCGTCAAATACTTATTGATATAATAAAACATGACCTAATAAATCGACATAATCTTTTGTAAGTTGTATTTAAGTATAACTTTGTATATTGATATAAAGGAAAAAAATTATTTTGTTCTTCTTGTGCGTTAGCTTTATATATATATATATATACATATACATTATGACAGAGGCTGTTTTCTCAACAAATAGAGTTCCAAATCACAAATATAAGCCCCTATTTTTAGCACGCTTTTTTGAGTGCCTGAATCTTTGAAACCGTTCGAATTGTTTCACGAAAAGAAAGCTTTTGAATTAATTTATTTAAAAATTTTTTGTACACCTCTAAGAAACTTTAAGCAGTTAGGCTGTTAAAAATTATGCTTATTGAAGTATGATATACGAGAAAAATATTTTTATGTACAAATAAATCGAATATTATTTTAATCGATTAGAAAAAATTGAAAACCTTTGCGTACTCTACTTTGTTAAATATGGCAAACTTTTAATTAATTATAATATTTCTTATCAGTTTAATCGTTATGTTCTTACTTTCAAAAGAACAAACAGTATTAGTAATGTTCCTGTGTGTAAGAAAAAAAATGAATACATAATTTTATACCTTGTTCTTTGAATGTAATTAATTTTTGTATTTGTTTTCGTATTTAGCTATCCAACTCATAAACAATTTGATAATATTGGTACAGCTATTGTTCAAACATTAAAGATACCATTGACAAAAGATAATATAGTAAGTGCATTTATGTCATCCGAATCCAATCAATTAGTTGATAGATTGTTGATCGATATAAATCAATGAATTTTGCTTGGTCATGCACGAAATTTATCCTTTTTGAAATGGTTCTCGTTAAAGAACTATTTCTAGAAGTCTCTCAAAATAAGAAATAGTAAACTTTATTTTATACTGAGCCTATGTATGATACCTAAACGAGTGTAATAAGAAATACAGCATGCGTACAATTTTTTTGTAATAAAAAGATAAAACATACAATACA